CCGAGGGGTTTGGGATTCCGAATAAGTCTAAAGCCTCCAGGCAACACATCAGCGAAGGATTGATCTTCTGCCCCTCCTCCTTTTAAAAAGTGAAGTCTTGGTTGATCATTAAGTCAATCATATCTTGAAAGGTTAAGCTGGCCTATATCTCCATTTCCAACCAAGCAACTCACCATTTTCCTCTCCACTTACTCTGAGAGGATACTCCCCTACTGGACTGAGGCATTTTTCTTAAAAGAACTTTATAGCTCAGAGCTCCTCCCAAGACTAGCAAGCTCCTCATCAGTAATGCCAGCCCCAATCCAAGCCCCCACATACCCATGCTGCTGATCAAGAAACATTTTAATATGTGGCCTTTCTTTGCCAATTCCATCTCTGCAACCCCCTTCGCACCACAGGGTCCTTTTCTTCTTTTCCATCTCTGTCAGCCTTGTTTCCTTAATTTCTAGACAAATCCCTACCCTGACTCCTCCTCTCCATCCTCCCCTCACTCGCCGGGTCATCACTTCCCAGACGCTGGCACCTGGGACCTCAAAAGCGCAAATGCCAAAACCAGACACGTTGACGCGCCTAGAAGAGGGGAGGGAGTGTGAGGGCGTGAATGTAAGTGTATGCGCTTGTGTGTGGAAGAAACCAACAGAATCCACGCCAGTGTTCATCTTCTGGAAATGCCAATAATGCCAGCCTGAGAAAGCGAGGATCCGGTACCCAGTGCTCCCCAACAGACAGTATTCAGGGTTGTGGAGTTGAGAGGGAGCAAGGCTCCACCTTGGACCCTGGCCCGGGGAAGGTCTTGCATCCCCTACCGCACAGCGCACCCCCACCCCCGCACAATGGTAGGACCCGGCGGCGACGTCACCCATTGTTTACAAATCAACCCGAGCCGGTAGGATTCCGGCTCCCGCGGCCGCAGCGCGCGGCCAGAGTACCTACCCGGCTCCTGCTTCCGTGTCCGCCCCAGCTTCAGATTTGGCCTAAGGTCCGCGCCCGGCTCCGCCGCGGCCCACAGAGCTGCCAGCGACCTCCGCAGAGCTCCGGGTGCCTGGGCGGGGGGCCATGCCGTGCCGGAGGGAGGAGGAAGAGGAAGCCGGCGAGGAAGCGGAGGGGGAGGAGGAGGAGGAGGACAGCTTCTTCCTGCTGGAGCAGTCGGTGACGCTGGGCAGCTCGGGCGAGGTGGACCGGCTGGTGGCCCAGATCAGCGAGACGCTGCAGTTGGACGGGGCGCAGGACAGCCCGGCCTCCCCGTGCGCGCCCTCGGGGCCGCCGCTGCAGTCTTTTTTTTTGGCAATTTAAACCTGAAATTGGATAGACAGAGAATGAAAGCCAGTATATAATGTCTTGCTTCAAAAGAAGGAGACCGCGGCCGTGTGCGGGGCCGGGCTGCGCCTTACTTTGTGGCGGAGCTTTCCACAGGTCCTAGCGCTCTGTCCCCACTGCCCCCTCAGCCCGGCCTAGATGGGGCTCCAGAAGCCTTCAAACGGGGCGCCCCTCAGTCGCTGTCTGGCCCGTGCCGGCGAGGATGGCTGCGAGGCGCCGCCGGTTCCCGCCGCCTGCAGCAACGACGCGGGCCCCAGCCGGAAGTCCGCACTGGCGACGATGACCCGCACCGACTCCTGCAGCAGCTCGTGCTCTCGGGGAACCTCATCAAAGAGGCCGTGCGAAGGCTTCATTCACGACGGCTGCAGTTACATGCAAAGCTTCCCCAGCGCCCGCTCCTGAGGCCTCCGACGGCCCCGGTGCACAAGCCCCCTTCGCCCCGCAGCCCTCGCGCGGCCTGCAGCAACAACTCTGGTGCGACCGGGAGGAGGGCGCAGCTCCGAACTGGTGACGGCGTTCTTGTGCCCGGCAGCTAATACCGCGGGAGTGGCAACAGCACCAGTCTCTCCCTGGAGGGCAAGGGGTTCATCTCTACTCAGACGACTGGTGAAGTCGCTTTTCTGGAAGCGGGAAAATAAGCTAATGAAGATGATGAATTGAAAAGTTGCGAATGTTTTTGCGGGGTACTGAGGTCAAGAGCCCTGATGTTGAAAAACCGGTCTTGGCCCTATTTAACACAGGTTACAGAGCGTACCCCAAGCCCACAGTCGGTAGGACTTCTTATTTGGCGTGACCAATCTTGGAGGCACAGCTTCCAGTTTCATGTACCCTCTCCGGGTCCTCCAGCCTGGCACCCATGTGGCCACAGTCCACGCTTCTCAGGATTGCAGAGCGCCCAAAGGACAACGAAGATCCCAGTTACTTGCTTTACCTTTTCAAGGCTGGTTCCTGATCCACTTTTGAGGGAGGGGAATACGAGTACACGACCATTTCAGGGAGTACCTCAATCTGCCAGATTTGAAAATTTACGACACTTAAAAAAAAAAAAACCCATCTCGTGTGTTTTGGGGTTCTTAAAACACGCGGTACCATGAAAGGACCTTTTTGGGAATTGAATAGGAATAACCTTTTCTCTGCTCCCGCTTTGCAACTGGCTGCTGTTCTCTGAGTGGGGATGGGAGGCGGGGGCGGGCGCGGCTGGGGATAGGGTAGAGTGAGGCGTCGAGGGAACCCTTGGTCCTCTCTAAAGTATTTTCACAGCCAGCCCGCCCCTCCTTGGGTTCAAGGTCACTGTTTCCAGGGCGCACATGGGGTTGCGGGGCTCCAGCCGGGGAGAAAAGTATCCCGGTTCTGCCTGCATTCGGAAAAGAGCGCAGTGTTTTTGCAAGTACTGGAGTCTCCTGAGGACACCGGCACCGCCGCCAACCGCGGGTGAAGAGAGGCAGGGACGCGGCTGGGCGCCGGTGCCTCCCGCGAGCGGCCGCGCCCTGGGTTTTCACAGAAACTGGAGACGTGGCCTCGGGTCCATCCTCTACCCCCCTGGCTCTACTGTCCTACTGAAGAGTGGTGTTGGTGCTCCTGGGGGCCCCGGCTGGGGGCTGGGGAGGAGCCACGTGACGGGCACTCCAGGGAGAAACAGCCTCGCATAGCAGCTTATAATGGGCTCTCCGGGGCCATTTGCAATAACAGCTGCAATTCCCTGGATACATGAAGTTGATTTCCTCCCTCCGCCCCTCCCCCAGCCATGCCTGTTCGCCTTTGTAAGAGAAGGAAACTGAGTAGAAAATGTGACCCTCCAAATAGAGAAGCTGCAGGTTTTGCCGTTGTGATCCGTGAAGTTTTTGTAACATGCTGTTCAAGGGATTTAAGACCGTTTAGTTGGTGTTTTAGTTTTATAAGATTCAATGGCTTGTTCATCATCCAGATGTGGCTATTGACAAATCTACACTTCGCAACGGAGTATCCGAAATTGTTGCTATCCTAATTATAGGATTTTAACTTAACTGAAATTCCTGTTTTTTAATAAACGTGTTGTGTTTCTTGTTTGGTTTTATTTTATACTTGCTGTCATTGAGAAAGAGGCACAGAATACATTTCTTTGATCTCCATAAACATGAGAACACTTGAAATCCTTGTCAGCCTCGCTTGTGGATGGTAATTAGAGCGCCTTTGTGTCTGAGAAGCTCACTAGTTAGACAGGGTCTGTACAGCTGGATGTGTATTGGTGATGGTATGAAATTAAATGAAAGTGAGGTCAGGTTTGAACCAATCCCATTCACCAAAACCTTAGAGCCTTTGGATTACTACTCAGTGATAGAGATGTTTTATGAAGCTGCCTCTGACTATTTTAGCAAAGAACAGATCAGTCAGTCACTGCAGACTGAGAGGCTTATGGGGTTTTTTTTTTTTGGTTTTTTGTTTTTTTTTCTTTCTTTCTACTGTGGTCATTAAGTGGACTTGTTTCCACAAGGTGACCCTAAGGCTGAGCAACTCTTGGTTAGGGGTTGCTCAGGGTGCAAGCCTATGGCGGGAAAGCTGGCTGGGAGTATATTAAAGGACTCCTCTCTCTGCCCTTGGCACTTGGCACGTCTCTATCCCATCTCTATTACTTCAGTTACTTCTGTCTGTTCCCTCAAGGAAGAAGCCAGGCTGGGGACAGGGTATCCAAGTTCAAGTCCACTTATTAAATAGGGACCTTGGACAAGTTGCTCAACTGTGAGCTTCCGTTTCCTCATCTGTACAACAGGTGAGAAGTGAGCTAAGAAAAAGAGTTCTTGGTGACTGGCAGATACTGGAGAGGAACAGTCTAGTCCCTACCTCTTCTTTCCCAGGGCTGTCCCTAAGTAGCTAAGTGACTGGACCCTCCATTTCTCATAAAACAAGGGCATGTCACGATTCCAAAATGCTTTCTTGATCAAGTACTGTATGATTAAAGTCCTGACTTTCTAACTTCCTTTTCGACTCAATGCCTGTTGTCTCTACCTCCCTATTCTCTCAAATACACACGCAGACCCTGATGGTTTCTGAGAAGTACCTCCAGAACACACCAGACCAGCTCAGAAAGGGGTGTGGGGGGCTCAGTCCAGTGCCACCCAGCAAAGGAAGGGAGATTATGGCAGTTCTAACAGAAACAGGAAGGGGGCCTCCAACCGTGCAGTGGGCTACCACCTCTGGGTATGGAGCAGCAGGGGGAAATGGTCAGGTGATGACTTCCCCTGGCATTGGACTAGCCTCAAGGTCCTTAGCCCCACTTCTTACTTGGGGAGGGATTTCCCAGAGGTCAAAGGGTTAGGAGCAATCCAGGGCCAAACATGATGATTCGATGCCACTGCACCAACTGTGCTGCCTTTTTATAAAGACTGCTGAAAGCTAGACTCAACCATAGGGCTCACACAGTACAACCCCCTCCTTAAAAAAGGACGACTGAAGAAAACTAATGCCTACTATCAGGCACTTTCAATGCACTATAATCCTAAAACTGTATACCTTTTTAAAACTGCAAGGTCTTACTAGTCACTCAAAAATCCTTTTTTGGAATAAGAATTTACATAAATGATTTTTTAAAGTTATTAGACCATTTTATAGGTGGAAAAATAGTCCATGAAGGGGCAGGTTAGGTTGACCTACCAGAGTCATTTTTTTTTTAAGTCAAAGGCCTAACAGAGTCTCAAACCCAGGACTTCAGGCTCCCAGTTCAGGCCTCTTTCCAATAGCCTCATACCATCATTGCATACTTCAATATCGTCCACTGTACAATTCCACACATACACTACAATGTGAATAACACCTCTGCAATTGTCCAAAGTCATGACCCTGCTATTAATACCCTGGAAAATCATGCCCCAGACCCCTAAGCCAAGCTAGAGAAAGACGGGTATGCTGTAACCATTTTCTTACAAAATGTTCAGCACCCTATGAAGACAGTTGGCCACAGAAAATGGCTTGGGTGAGGTAAAAGACCAAAGCTATAAACCCAGTGGGAAAAAAATACAAAATAAACAAACATAGAAATTGGCAAATAATGAGTGATTTGGAGAAAAGAATGTCACACTCCACAAAGAACTCCAGGATTTCATTATAAATTAGGTGTAAATGCTACAATATTTGGATTCAATTTTTACCCTTTTTTGCTCTCTCCTTTTCCAGCTCAGAAGCAGAAACAGAGCGAAGATCAGACACCACTTTCTATCCACCAAAGTCTGTGTTCTCTTCCTTCCAATCAGGAAAGAGTTACCCTGGCAACCAAATTACTAACTCACTCAATTAGCTCCCCCCTCTTCCACCAATGCTCAGTAATCACAGAATGTCAGCCCCAGGAGAGCTCAGCCTTTGGTGGTCCAGTGCTACTGCCTCATTTTGAGATGGAAGCCCAGAAAGGTTTCCACGCGGAGCTGCACTCCATTTGAACACCGTGAAGGCTGGTGCAGAAAAGGGGGCAAATACTCTCCCGTGCAGCTCTTCCTCTTGGTTTTCCGTCCATAACTGGAAGGGAGAATAAGTGACCTACCTGTAACAGTGTTTACCAGGAGGCATGATAGTTAAGAGTGTGGGCTCTGCAGGCAACCCTCCATTGCTAGCCCTGTGATTTGGCACAGGGTCTTTCACCTCAGTAATCTCAATGAACTCATCTGCAAAATGGGAGATAAGAATAGAGCCTTCTTTGAAGAACTGGGTGAAGATTAAATTAGATAACTTATGGGAATAGCAAATAATAAACATTTAAATAGTAAAACATTGTTTCTGGAAGCTATTGCACGAAGGGCACTATAAGTCTTTTGTGGGAAGTCCTACCTCTTCATGGTTTCTACAAATGGTTTCTTAAAAGGCATAAACCTGTTTCCTCTGAAGATCAGACCAGTTTCTAGAGCATACACTCCTATTATATAAGTAAGCACCCAGGGAAGTATGCAGGAAGAAAATAGTCTAGAAGTGGTTTAATCAGAAAAGCATGGAGGTCCCTTTCAAGACAAACCTTGACAGCAGCTCAGGATTGGGACCGGTAGAGGAAGGGCAGCAGGGACTATTATAGGGTGTGTACTGAGGACAGCCTAGAGCCACAGCTCTTAAACTCCCCTATTTCCTTTCAGAAAACCCTTCCCCTTCTAATTCAGATTCAGTGCTCAGCTGTGGTTCTGCTTGCTTAACCCTGTCCACTCCCAACTATAATTTGTACTGAGAAAACTGTGCAAATTTTTTTTTTTTCAGGAAGTGATCTTTGAGTTCATTTTGTTCTCATTTTATTTACTGTCATTATAGGGTTATCTCAGGAGCTCATATGTGAATGTCTCCTTTTCCCAAAGAGATTATATATTCTTTGATGACAGAGGAGTGACAAGATGAAGAGGATGTTTTAGGCAGATTATCAGGCTATGGTGTGGGGGATGGATGGAATTTGAGGGTGAACATTTATGGTCAGCCAGATCAGTTGGATGGCTGTTAAAACATCCAGGCACCAGGTGATAAGGGCCTGGGTGGGAAGAGAGAGAAAAAGACAAGAAGAGACACATTTTGAAAAGAAAACCATAGGCCTTAGCATAGTATGTGTCACCATCCTGGCTCTTTCCTTTAAAGATCCTTCCTATGACTTTGCCCAGGTCACTTCATCTGTCTAAAATCATGTTCCTCATTCATTAAGTTTGATAATAAAGTCTCTGCCTCATAAGGTTGAGAGGATTCATTGAGCTAATTCTAGTAAAAATGCTTAGGTCACTGCCTGAAACACAGTTGCATTTAGTAACAACGCCTGGGGATTGGCATTTAGTGAATATTTGCAGAGCAAACAAATGGGGCAATTTCAACAGACTTGTGGAGGCGAAGGGAGTAGAGAGCTTGGGACTGAGATGATGACTTGTGGTGCCTGCAAGTTTGAAGAAGATGGAAAAGGAGAGACAGCAGCTAAAAACAGAAAACAGGGCCAAAGGAAGGATTTTTACTCAACCAGGAGAGACCTGTGCTTGTCTGAGTGCGGATGGAGGATATCCAGAGGGAGAAACTGAAGGGAAAATAAAAAACAAGACTCCTGGAGGAGATAGGAAGGGATGGGATGCCCAGGCTAGACAGGTTTAAGGGTGGATGTCCTACGTGACAGCATCTTATGTCACAAACTGTCCTACCACAGAGAAGCCTAGGACTTGAGGTTAGGCTGTTGAAACAACCTTGTCTAACCTTTCATGCCTGGGATGGCTGAGTATATTTCTGTTATTGTGTGAATGAATCCTTCAGCTCTGGACCTTATACTACAATAGAATAAAAACTAAATCTGATACCAAGGAATTTTTCAACTGCTCCCTCTTATCAATTAACTGACTCATAAGAGGTAAAATTCACTACCCCCAATTGATAGGTCGTTCGGACAGTTTGTTTGACTTATTGATTTGGGTTGGTTAAAAAAAGTCACAGGCCGGTTATTTCATTTTGTTACCTTTGCCCTGCCTTTTGCCTGTTTCTTTTTTATTAAATTAAACAGCCTAATGTGGGTAAAAAATGGTTTCTCAGGTTTTTTTGAAAATCTTCCCCAGACACTGGAGTCATAATTATCTTTGCCCAGATATGCAATAAATTATACTTTTCTTCAGGTAGGTTATGGAGAAGACCTCACAGTGCAGATGTTCAAAATGCACCACTTAATGGTGCTGATAAAGGGAAGTTGAATAAATTCAGAGTTTGAAAAAGACAATGAAAGTCACTAAGCAAGATTTGATTTCAAATAACCTGGACATGACCACAGAGGACATATAAAGAGATAATATGGATATAGCTCTGTGTTCGTGTGTGTGTGCCATGAGTGTGTAGACACTCTCATATCCACCATCCCTCATAGGTCACCCTCCAGCCTTCCTCAGTTTCTCTTGGTTCTATTCATTCTCTCTGATCCTTTTGTTTACTCTTCTTCCCTTCACAGAGATTTGATGAGCTGATCTTTGTAAAGTACTTAGCACAAGGTAAGCACTCTACACATTCACTAGTTTTATTATTACTTCCCAGCTGACAGCATCTCCCAAGCTCCATCTATTCCTCTTAGCTCTAACTGCCAAATCTCTCATCTTCAGCCCTGATCC